TCGAAGACGATTTATGGTTTTTTACATCATTTGAATGTAACCGCCAGGGTGGGGCAAAACATGTGTGAAATCACATCTTATCTTGGCTACCAAAATTTTAATTGGAAGCCTTGTACCTTACCTACTGTGTGTAGATCTTAATATGCCCGTACAAGTGTCGTGCATTAGTAATCTGGGGAGAATACCAATTATTGTAGATCTGAAAATGGAGAATCGATGGCTGTTCTATTGACGTGATGTTGGATGATCTGCCCGAAATTGATGGGGCAGAAATACCTTCCCACGTGCGAGACTATAGGGAACGAGGATAGAGCGAGTTAGAGATCTTCCTGTGCATTTACTACATCCTATACTCCGTTTGGAGAGAAGACATGTTTCAACAGATCACTATGTAGTTCTCATGTCACTGTCAACCCATCAAGCCAGGTAATAATAAAGATCGAGAAGAGAATAATTTTCATTTGGTATCATTTCCATATCGCCATCATAATACCCCTTTCATAATCCATTTCTACCGCTCTATTCTATTCAATAACCATGCGCATCCACAATTCTTAATTCCGAAGCCATACCAATTTCAAAGGGAGAATGAATTTCAAATGGCGATCCAATATTGATATCCAATCCCGTAAATGAATCTCTATCTCTCCCAAAACAGTCCCCATCAAATCTTGATGTTGGGCGAGAGGTATTCTTCCATGGTGTTGGTGGATGAACTGGTACCATAAAGTCATATCCTGATTCGTATGTACCCATAGGTTGTAACAAAGGACTTGCACAAGGTGTAGATCTAGCGCTTGGGAGACTGGATGATCTTGGAGTGTATGTGGGTGCGTCACAAGTCGATGATGCTTCGGAAGCATTACTTCCTCTTCTTTGACGTGCTGCATCACCAGATGCTCGAAGAAGGTCGAAATCCATTGATGATGTCTTTTTTATTGGTCTTTGACTTCGTGTGCTTTGTGCTAATTCTCCGAGCTTCATAAAGTTATCCATGTCTGATATCGAGATGATTGGTCCGCCGGCCATTTGTGAATTTGATGAAGACATGATTTACTACTGTTTATTAGTCTTTGTCAAGATAATATCTTGCCAGGAACAAACTTACAAGTGTAGAAGTTGCGAATGATTGATTGAATGAAATCCTGACCAAGTATAGATTGCTTGAGAATAGATGATGAATGTTTCTCAAAGTGTAGAAAAATGTTTTCGTGGATTGTAAATTCGTGTTGGTATATATTGTGAGAGAGAGAGAGAGAGAGATAAATTCTGAGAATGAAACCGTTGTAATATTCTCAAAGTCGTAATGATGTAATGAAGTGAAATCGTTAAGGATAGTATGAGTTAATTTATTAAACAATAAAGTTATAATACGCGAAGAATGATTGTGTGGTATAAAATTTAACTTTCCAGCAGGAGGACGACCGGATACATATATCAAGACCCGAAAACTCCGTACAACCAAATCACGAAATCCTACTAAACACGATATTCTAGTACCCCATGGCCAGCGCCTAGAGATTTAAGATCTGCCTACCACCTGGGTCACCCCACTCGCGCTTGTCACAATCCACCCGAGATCCACCATAAGGCTGTCTCCGTTTCTGACCCAACCAAAAGTTTTATATATTAAGAAATGAATGAACTGAACCGTGCCGTAAAATGAGGAAATAGGTACCAAGCGGTTGCAGTTCGCTTATCCAGTCGTTTCATATGATCACCACGTTTTTGGGGGACATGCGTCTAATTTTATGGGCCTATCAATCCGCCTATCGTTCTTGTGAACATGGACAAGCGAAGGCGGTGTTCTTGGTCTATTAGATCCACCAAAGAAATAAATTCTACGATTGGTGCATTTGTTCCGGAGATCAGGTTTGCCGCCGGTATCAATTAAGCTCCGAAAATCCTTGTTTTAGGCCATCATCATAACCGTTTAAGAAAACATTCAAATCCAATGCAGGGATAAGAAAAGGGAGGACAAGGGGGAAGCTTGGTATGTATGAAACTCTCACATGTTGTACTTATAGAGTTTTGTTTTGTTTCTTCCTTCCGGATTTGGATAAGATACCAACACTGGAAATGATCGAAAATTCTAGATATCTCTTGGAAAGATAGTTTCCACAATATTCGTATACGACACGTATATCAGCGGTCTCATTTTCTGCGACCTAGATGTCACTCGAAAAGACCCTGGTCTAGAATTACTCGGGGAATAAGATCGATTGGTCTAGTGACTCCATTCGTGACTATGAAGTAAATAAAAGAATCCTCCTGTTGGAATATTTAATTGTCGGGATACTGCCATGCAGATTCATTAATTGTTGTTGGGTTCTTTTGTATTCATAGCTAACGAAATTCCAACAATTGTATTGAGCCGAAGCAGTAATCTTGCGCACTTGTCCACACGAGATTCCAGAATAATTGTCTAAATGTCATTTGAAGTTAAAATCATGGTAAACGTTTCTTGGGAAGTAAATTTTGAAAGTATAACCAACTGACTTTTACAAAACATGTCATATGAGGACTCTTATCAATTCAGGGGATTGAAGTTGCGCAGCTTGGTGCCCATTAAAGTTAGATTACGAAAATTAAGGTTAGTTGGGGTTCCCAACCTTAACTTCCACATTGGGGCTTGATAGCAACATGCAATCCGGAATTCCGATTCCCTTGAACCGGAACAACTATTCGTAATTGAGAATATTATAAATCACCAAGTGGTACAATATAAACAACAATTAGAATGTCGTTTGTCATGAAACATCTCTTGACGCCTCAATCGATATTTAAGAAAAACTACAGATCCATTAGTTTGGAGCCGTGTGAAAATTTCATCCTGCTGTGTAATCATAGGATATTGTGAAAATTGAAACAGTTGGAAAATAATATTCCGTCATACTGCAATGCCTCACAGATCACGAATTTACTTACCATGCACTTATGTATCTGCCATGTATTGGATTCGGCGATAACTTTCCTCAAAAGCATGCCATTGTTGATGCATCTAGCTTCTATCAAACAAATATAGATAGGATCTGTATCAAATCCATCTTATCGTAGGTTTGATACTCGGCAGGCGTGATGTTGCGACTGGTACGGCCACGATAGAGGGTTGCAGTTACGAGATAATATGTACCAGACTTGAAGTTATGGTTTGAAGCTTACCTGGGAACCAATAAGATTTTGGATACCGTTGATGTTGATATGGGTGATGAAGTGGTGTTGGTGTGGTGTTGGTGTGGTGCTGCAAATCTTGCGTCTGAGCTTTTCCTCTCATGGTAATCAATATTCATACAGTTAAGTTCTCCATAGCAATTGGTCGAACTGGTTCTACTTTTCCGAGTATCTGGAAATTAAGGACTGATAATTGTAAACAGCCACCAACTCGGGGAAAGAAACCGGCGCTTTTACCAGTTTGCTAGATTGATTAATGGTTGATTCTTCGAGGATGCGTAGATTTTCAAGCATGGGGTATTGCTATAGGAAATAATGCGACCATGCAATACTGCACTTTTGCCGCGAGCACGGTATATACGATGCCAGTCTTCTGAAACATGAGCAAGGGGCTGTAATACTCGCGATATTATACCAAAGCTGTAGGAGCAAGGCATAGCATAGGATGAATGGAAACTATGTTAGTACGTCTCCCAGAGTTGGATGAATGCAAAATGCAAAATGAGAAATGCTGAAATTGATGACTCTGCCCTAAATGAGTAGCGAGAATCACAATGTGTGGTGTCATGTTGTATGCATCTTAGCGGAAAATCCTTATACTATTCTAATTATCTGACCTTGGAAAGCATGAGTTGGTTCATTTTCATGAATTCTACACTGGCATTGCCCTTTTTGATAGAATCCTTTGAGAATGGAAATGATCTATTCAAAATGTGAGCAAATAAATCTCGTGGAAAGTAAGAATAACTCAAGATAAGTTATTTACACCAACCCATTTTTATTCAAAGCTAGAGATCAATTTTTTTCCAACATTTCCTTACTCGGCCCGTGAAAAGAGGGTAAAAGTTCCTCAGTTTCGCCCGAAACTATCCGACCGTACTTAGTGGATGAATATCGGTCCTATCTTTTTCTAGTTTTTGCTAGTATTCGGGAGTTTATGATTTTCCGAGATCCGCGACCGGTCCAAATGAAATGGCTATACTATCTACGGTTGGGCTATTTGGAACTTTTTATGATCAACAATCAGATGAACTATCATTGGTACACTTACTTTTGACTTCAACGTGAAACGGTCGATCTTGAATATCAATTATCATGACAATTACTAGATCGTCTTCCTGCAGTAGTAGCATGTTTCTAAGAACAACAAGATCAAAACGAAAATGAATTCTACTAGGATTGAATCAAAACCTGACATCAGGACGTTCAAGGGTCCAAACACTACAGTCAATGCTAGAAATATTTCTCCGATAAATCTACATCGCTTCGAATACCTAAACCACATGGTTTATAGCTTTTGGTATATCGTTGTTTACCATTCTAGATATGCATTAGGAAAACCATGTCATGCGCTTAGTTTTCAGAGTAACGGAAGAAATTCAGAGATCGCATTCACTTCTTCACTAGAAGACTAGTAGATTTCAGATGCATGACAGGGTGTAAAGGATGACCATATCCTAATAGAAAATCTATCAGTAATCTGATGTTGGAAAAGCTTTCATAAGGACGTGTCACGAACTAAATTCTTGGCTCAAAAGATGATCACTTCTTTCCTTGGATTCCCAAGAGCAGATTTAAACTTTTTGATCCAGAAAATCGGAACGAAACAGCAGGGTCTTTGTCCGTTGGTTAGTGTTGCCACGTGGAGATGTTAGTGCCCGTTATAGCGTCAAACAGACCTTCTACCATCCCGCTTGGGTCATCTAACCCCACCTAACACTTTATCAAAACATAATTGACAAGTTCTAAAATGTTTGTATACAGGTTTCAATCTCCTGGCTCAATATTTTCATCCTTTTCTACATATGAAATGAAAGAATATCGACACAATGCCGCTCAGAAAATCATCGGTCATTGACATCGCACCACCTTCTGAATACAAATCATCTCAAAAATCCCATCATTCACAAACTCCAAGTTACAGTTCAAATTGTAGCACATCCTCGAATGTATTCTCGAGATCTTTGAGTTCCTCAAGCACTTCGGATTCTTCGTTTGATTCGAAAAGATTGGAAATAATGAAAACACAAACGATAGAATGGTCATATGAACCCGCATCACATTCAGATACGGAGAAAAGTCTACACAGCTCGAATACGTATCATACATGGGAAACGCAAGGCCCAAAAAAGGATCATGTCAGAAATTCTGAAATGGGGAAACTCTCATCAAAGAAGCAAAGATGGACTAAGGACTAGGACCCGAGAGTTTTACATCACTGAAAATTCTATTTCTTTGATAAATGAATATCAGCTGCATGGCATGAAGAATCAGAGTCGCAGTATCAGCGTTCATATCCATGAGGTCTGGGTAGGATGTAGAGCCGAGAGATTAGAATAGAAGTGATGTCTACTCGACGGCTCATTCATACCACAACCCATACTCAGAAAGCACAAATCACAAGAGAACAACCACTCGAAGGGTATCCCGAAGGATTCGCACGTAAAAGTCTCTGTCAGATTAGGCTTTCGATATCTCTGAATGTATCTAAATGAAGATGCGCTGCGCAAGTTTATTGGTACTACATACGGAGCGAGTAAAGTCCAGAGATAATCACGCGCTCATTATCAGAGAATATTGTAGGAAAGCGACGAAGATGAGGATATGAGAGGACAAGAATGTTGACCTAGCTTTCGAGCTCTCTACTTCATGCTAGGGGATGTTGTATGAGAAGCGACGCAAATTGAGGGTTCTAGACAAACTGGATGTGAAACGGCGACAGAATGTTACCGGACGAAAAAGGGTGTGGAGAAGGACTCCTGGAAAAATCGCACTGGAATTCCAAGAAATGTTCGGAATGGGGAGGAAGTTTTAGGAATTGAGTAATTCGGTGGAGTCAAAATCAATCTACACAATAGAAAATGTTTGATATTAATCAGGCTCACAGCGAAACACAAAGACTTCTTTGTTACTATTTTTAGGATATGTCTTCAAACAAAACATTTAAACAAAGAGACAAAGCAAAATATCTTTGATTGTACGAGAAAATAAGAACAATGCCTCAGTTAAATCCATAAAGTAATCTTGAACCCCCAACCCCTCTTCGCCTCCAAGTTACTTCTCAATTTTCTATCCCACCAAATCCTACATCACTTGATAGAATTCACAACAAAACTTCACAGCAACATCACAGCAACATCATCACCACCCCATCTTACCACGACAAAATGGGTCTCTCCAACAAAGGCGATAGTATCGCGGTCTTCACTCTAGTAACATTCTTCTTCATTTTCCTTTCCATCTTTCTCATATATGTTCCCCGCTATATCTTTCTTAAAATCAAGAACCACAAAAAAACACCCAGTCGAATAGAAATGAAAACTTGGTTTCAAAGAGGAGTTGGAATTACTTCATCGATAGGAAGACGAAATAAAGTGAAGAGAGATGCAAGAACTGCTCAATTTGAAGATATTGAGATGGGAGATATATCGGGCGTTACGAGTGCGAATGTGAGGAGGGGTGCTGTGGTTGTGGCATTGCCGGAACAAGGCAGAGTTTCTGGTGAGAGATTACCAAATGTGATATAAATGCTGGCATTTATGTTACTTGGTGAGTATGAGAAGTAAGGTATGAGGTATGCTATGATGCTGGACACTGTGTTATACTGACAGGTAAGAATATAATTTCATAATTTTTTTAATATAACTTTTTCATGTGTGAATGGAAGGATTTTGAGTGACTCTAACGACCTAGTCTATTTTTGAAGCCCCAAGAGTTTTGGATAAAGGTATAGGACTACTAAGCCAACTAAAGATCCTTTTGTTTGACTTAAAAACAACAAGAGATACAAACTCTTCTTGTTTATGATTGTTCTTTGTACTTCTGGCTGATCAAAGGTTGTACGCATCGCAATATTCATTCTTTGGGCTCATAACTCGTAGTAATGTTTCCATGAGAAAGAACCAGCTGGAGGCAATGGATCTCGTCTTGATTTCATAGGGAGCAAAACTTCAAGCCCTGTTCGCGGAGGAATACTGTACCTACGGAGCAGGTTTAATGCATAAAATTACTGGAGGTAACAGCATTCTCGGGTTGAGAGACTTCTCAGCTCTTGAAGCATTCGCAAACTTTTCCGCAAGAATAGAAAAATCTGTATGAAGTTTCCAACTTTGGAACCCTTCAGAGTATTTGTTTGGCGACTCGCTGAAAGGTCAGAAAGCTTAATCATCAAAATGGAGCCAAGCCAAATAACGCAAACTTAGAGTCCACGATCCCGGAATTTTGTGATGGACCGAAGCATGCTACCCAGAGTTCCTTGGCCAGGTTTTGATGTGAATATTCAAGATTTCTGGTGATTTCAGAGATCCCCACCCCTATTCACCACTAGAGAATAGTGAGCCTGATTTGCTTCACAAAATTCTCTAATTTTTTTTAGAAAACATGCTTTATTTGACATTTGTCAATTGTATCACCCGTATAGAGTAAATGTACTAGCTACCAATGTTATCCCAAAGCTTTTGAGGTCCCCAAAATATCCAAAATCACATTCCTTCTGCAGACTTGCATTGGCACAATGACAAAAAGAGTTGGTGTCGCAAGAAGAAATCAGTCCCTCTTTTTATCGCTGTGGCTAGCAATGCGTGGAATCTCATCCAAAACCCGAGAGAGAAAGAACACCATGGGCCCTAAAGATATTTGAGGCACTCTTGACAAACAATCACCTTACGCACAGCCAAGTGCAAACGCAGCGGAAACACAGACTTGTCCTCTACTCATGATCTTTCCGCCAACTCTAGGTGGATATCTAGCAGAATATTCTAGTGGCATGCCATTCAATTCAGCAGAGATCTCAAGCTCAACACAATAATGCGGTTTGGCCAGTTTTTTTTCCCCATAACGACGTTCTGCCAAGGGTATCTTTTTTTGAGTTTTGAGAAAAGTCATCTCAAATTCAAGTCGACCAGCTATTTGAGCATCTAAAGAAAAGTATGTCAGCAACGCTGTAATTAAATAATTCAGAATAATTTCAAGAAGATGGTAGTCTACGACGATCCGCTTTGTAACCATGAAGGATCGTAGTAGGAAAACTGAAGTCAAAAAAAAAAGATATACTTCGTCCTATCTGAGACATAGATCAATTCCTCACAGATCCAGGTTTCATATTCCTCAGGAAAGGCGTGAATTGATATCCAAGGCTCAAATCGATGTCTAGGTGGGATAAGTGAGTCCTATTTGATAATTAGCTAAACACCTTGTGCCGGGTTGACAAATCTCAGCTTACTTTGAAAACAAAATAGTTCACAACATAGAGATAATCTTGATTTTCAATTGAGCAGTTTCTAGCAGTGCAGTTCCTATGTGCCTCAAATCCTAGTACCGTCGGTTGATAAAGCTCTTTGCGGAATATTCCGTAGCTAGACTGGGCCCTTCGTGCTGGACCGTTATTCTTGTTCAAGGCAGCTAGGACGGCACCACAAGATACCGCTGTGACTCTATCCATAATTTAAGTCAATCACTAGCTGTAAAACGTTCAAAGAATATCCATGGAACTTACGGATATCCAGAGGCATCGTTTCCTGTCACTAACTCAATATCATAACCAACCTCGGGTTTATTTGACATCTCTCTTAAATGGTTTCGAAGATAAGACCTCAGGGATGGAGATGCTCCAAATCTTCTAAGTAAGAATACTTTCTAGAACATCTGTTAGTTCATTTTGCAGAGTTCCAAAATCTCCTCAATGCGTACCTTGACTTTTAGGCCTTTTTCAAGTGCAGTGAATAACTGGGCATGCAATAGCTTCTTTACCCGCTCCAGAAGAGGATTGAATAGTTCTTCCCAATCTTGTCTATTTCCGTAACCGAAGCTACATTAGCAGGTTTTCATTTTGATCAAGAATTTGATGCGGGGTGGAGCAGACTTTATGATAACGATGTGACCATCATCGAATCTTTTCTCTGCGTTTTCCTTCAGCCCAGGAAGATGGAGACGAGTTTTTAGTCCGAAAAGAGAGGTTAAATCTTTGCGTCTCTTATGATCATTCTCAAAATTCGGAATGAAACGATTGACAATTGATTCCAAGGATTCGCCAGCCGGCCACATATTGAGTAGATAACTTTCATCTTTTAATTTGTTGAGAAGCATATTTTTCCAGTTCTCATTGAGATAATTACTTCCACAGTTATCACCTGTTTAAGTCAGCATAATTGTGAGTATTGTTGTGAAAGTCTCTGACCTACCTCCTGGTGTAACTTTTTCCTCGCTCAATCTCAGAGGATGCTCTGTGCCAATCTCATATGTGATAATGTCGACAGTGCCACCCCCACAATCTGCTATAATGAAAGTTTCTCTGGGCTACATAGAGTTTGTTAGTCTTCATTCCTCCAGACTAAACGTTATGCATAAATGAATCAACTTACATGTACTGAGGAATTCCCTGCCAGCATATAAATTGCAGCCGCTTCTGGTTCCGACACAATATATGGTATGCCGACTTTCTTTGTTGAAATGTTTCCGAATTTGACAAGCCTTGCGGCGGTTTGTAGTGCAGTTTGAAGAATTCGAGACACATTAGGACTCCAGATCGTTGGTACAGTCAAGGCAAACTCGACGATAGACTGACTAGAAAAGTTGTGGAGTTGAATGAGCTGCTCTTTGGTATGATTGAGGACTTTCACTAGAAAGTCTGTAAATATATCGAGGACATCCCTGACATCAGGATTATCTTTCGAACCATGTTTGCGAATAATTCCGTTATCGATCAGAATCTCCATACTACGAAGTAGCTCAACACGATCGTCATGTGTGTAAGCTGTAGGAACCAGGTGTAACTTGGATCTCTTGACTCTAGTCCCAGTATTCCGGGAGATATTTTCTCTGTACTGCTGATGATGCACCTGGTAACCCCAGAGAAACTCCGAGGACTCGTCTCCACTCGACTCGGGATTTGCGTTTTTAACGAAAGTCAAAGAGTGACTTTTGTCAGCATATACGAATTCATCCAATGTTCCATCCTGATCGTCGGTGTCCTGGGGCGCCTCCCTAGACAAAGAAATCGGTGAATGCCACTGTAAATCTTATTAGTAACGCTCAGGTATTTCGGATGCAATCTGAAGTAGCCGTGAACCAACTTACTGTCTCGGAAGGTACTTGAGGGCGAGTTCCCCCAGCATTACCACTACTCAAATCATCTGGCCAGTTTTTAATGCTCAAAAGTTGTTCCGGGAAAGCTCGAAGATGCCGTTCATTGATAGGGTGGAAGAAATAGGATACAGATGTGAAGGTGGTTCCAAAGTCCACGCCAATGACAAACTTCTTTTCGGTCGTGAGATTCTTAGAATTTTGCTCAGCTATGCTCGAATTGAACTCTCGTTCTCTCAGAGAGGATCTTGCACTAGGCGCACTGCGTCATGCACTCATGCTCATTAATTGAAGTTGTTTGGGGTAGACTGGATTCGAACTCAAATCACAGGTTAAGAGGGAGAAAGTAATGGTCTTTGTGCGGGGAAATGAATTTGGGGGATTGGACGCAAAGAGGGATTTTAAAATATTAGCTGAAGTTTTGCGGCAAAATCCAGACGGTTTCGTTGATCATTAATGACTTGGTTTATTTTGAACATGTCAAGTGGATACAAACAAACGGATGAGAATTATTATGACAAATCAACATACTCTGACCAGCATCTCGGCAGGATGCATTTTTTCTTTTCACGGATGGCAATCGACGGGAAGTAATATCTATCAAGGATTCTTAGGCAGCAAGCTACCAAGGGTTTTCACGCAATTCAAGAAGCTGGAGCACCGTTTGGATTTACGGTAGTCGAATATTTGAATAGTATTTAGTGATCACCGTAGAAAAGCAAACTGATCATCTCAATTAGTGCTGGAAAGTCAACAATCTCTACATATAGGATCGAAAATTATATTGGAAACATCTGCGTGGTATTTGTGTCCATTTTTAATCAATCAAAAGAATCATTCAGTAAAGATGGGTTCATGGCCACTCGATCATGATGTGGTTCTCTTTGCTTGGCTCGACTTTTGCAATAAACACAAAATAGATTATTTGGCAACAATCGAACGACAATTGGAAGAAAGGACTGAGATTTCTCGTTCAAGATCCGCTGTATGTAGCCACCTCCGCTACACTGAGTGGAGATGCCGCAAGCCAAATGAAAAGCGCAGAATCCAGCATGATGAGCTCGTGCCGCATATTGGAATTATTGAGGCTGGATCTCAAGGTTTGCGGTACCCTCCGAAAGAAATGACCCCGAAAATCAGAAAGACTTTACGCGAATATGAAAAAGAGTACAGCCCAGAAAGAATCCAAAGGTTGATGAGGGTCACATCCGAGAATAAGCCGAGCCAACCAAAAGTATAACCACCCCCTCGAAGCTCGCCTCCTGTGAAAAAGCCAGCATATTCATCAAGTAACGTTCGAAAAAGAGTTTCGCCGCCAGAGGACGGGGAGTATTCAAATAAAAAGAGATGTGTAGAACAGGTACGCATAATTTTGCTTCACTTGATCTGGAACGTGAATTCTTCCTACGAGCAGTTCGATTCAACTGACACACTCTCGAAATAGAACACTAAGTCTATTCCATCTCAAAAGCAGCGAAGAAAGCTTGAACTTCAAAGGCCTCAGCTTACGTCTACACAAAAAAGTGCGACGATTCAACCGCTGAACGGCAGGTTGCCCACCAAAACAAAACTATCAAACGTTCAACCAGAAATCTCTCATCTTTCCAAAACCCCCTCCGTTGATGGAGAGCGTGACGACAAAGTTATAGAACCAACTCAAAAACGTATTGACAAAGTTATATCAAAAAGTCAAGAAAGCTACAAGGAACGCTTGAAGGAGAAGGAAGCAGAAATAGTTGCTATCCGCAAATACTGGGATTGCGACCTTCGGGAACTCCACGAGAGAATTGAAAAGCTTCAACAAGCAAATCTAGGACTAGAAGCCAAGGATTCGAGTCTGGAATCAGCTGTTATCGATGTCAGTAATGCAGAAAGAAATCCATTGGCAGATATGATTGGCCAAAAGAACAGAGAAACTTGGAAATTGACTGATATGATTCACCGACAGTTTGAGGTATCAAGTATCAAAGAGGCACAAGTAAAGTACCTCCCACGTCAACAAGTTGTTAATGCCATGAACGAAATTCGTCTGGAGTTAGAGACAATGACTCAAATGCAAGACTTCTCAAGTAGACTGAGTTCAAAAGAATGGTTCGGCGGAGACTTTGACCACTTGGTAAATTCTGCTTTCGCTTCTCCCGAAGGATCGATCGGCGGCAGGCTTCGATTAAAGAGGCTGGCCTTAAGAACTGGTTCATTTGCAGCACTCAGCATCTTGACCATAACTGCATTGAGAGATTGGGTTTTCCTAACAGATTTTCCGCGGGTAGAGTTAGGATCTTTGAGTCTGATTGAAGCATATCGCAGCATTGCTTTTAATCAAGGTGAGCGCTTTTCGTCGATAATTTTCCTTCTCTGATCATATTCGTGGACAGCATTATATCCTATACTTCTAGCTTTGGGTTTATTGTGATCATCTAGAGTACTAATTCAAGAATAACAGGCGGATGGGATGAACTGCGATGTTACGATTTCGGGGCGTTCAAGGAAGACATGAAAAAAAATACTTTAAGGAAGAATTGATTCGTACCGCCAGGCAGCTTTCATGTCGGTTGTCAAGGACATTAAGTCTTATTTTCGGCAAAAGTCTTGAAGAGGTGGTAGAGAATTCCTCCCTCCACACGTGGGGTGAAGACTTTGAATCCTGGAAAGAGAGACAGTACCACTTTGAAAAGCTTTTTCGGATTGCCTTGGAGTTGAAGAGTGACTCTATAATCACGGATGATACCTATACCTTCGAATTTCTTCTGAATGAGGCACACGCCAACAAGCCAATTGGTGAATCGGAAGCTCCTGAAGGTTTTTGGCTGCGATTTTCTATTGGCGCATACAAATCAAAACCATTGGTGACCCAGGATAAAAGGGTTGGTGCACTCGTCCAAACACGGAATTTTTTATCCTCTGTAACTGACGGCTGGATTTGCAATTATCGGAAGGACCTATATCTCAGTATTAATCGAGAACATGATCCCGAAATTATGTTATCGCATAGCAGAGTTTCAAGTAGACTCGCTGGGAGATCTCGGACTGATCGTCAAAACCTAGAGCAGGAGGACTTTCAACCAGAAGAGCCTGGTACCTTGGAGATGGCTTACAACAATAGTATTACAATTGACAAGATATCAGAACCTATGAGAAATATCCCACAGCTTCCTCTACAACTCTCTGGTATACCATCGGAGCATATGTGCAAAATATGCAAGATGAACTTTGGAAATAATCAAGGTTTGAGTGCGCACCAGAGAAATGGTAAGCTAAGAATATTACTTGAGAGATTGTACTAACATTCTTTCAAGGGACTTGTAGGCGATGCAAAGTATGCCGAACGGTTTGGCCTACGATAGCTGCTTTGAAAGAACACGCCAGTAAGAATCATAACGAAGAAATTGAAGATTTTACGTCTAGCACGGGCGATCATGTGTAGCCACAACAAGCAGCAATTCCTGCTTCAAAACGGGAAACTAAATCGAACATGGCCATTGAAGAAGGTATATGTGAGAAGGATGGTATCGAGGGGAATGATGCCGAGGATGATGATGTCGGGGATGATGTCGGGAATGATGTCGAGGAGGATGATGCTGAGGATAATGATATTGAGAGGAACGATATTGATTGGTCCTCCGCAAAAGCCTTGGGGATTGTGAGCAATGGACAGGCAGATCATCCTCACACCACAAAATCTCGAACATATTCAATTAGTGAGATACCCAACAGCGTCGATTTCGAGCAAGAACAAGGAGAAGAACCAGGATCGGCAGGATCAGTCCCGTGTCTCTTTTCTACGATTGAAACGGACAATATCAACCTTTTACCTAAAGAAAATAGGACCGGGAGCGAGAAAATTGACTACGCTTCAGAAGAAACAGAAGGCGAGGCACTCAAAACATCAGAAAGTAAACACGCGTGGGAGAAAATTGAGCATGGTGAGGGGGATATGGTTGGGTTTGAAGATTCTCGACATCGATCTAATTCGCAGACAATCATAGAATTTGACGGTCCAATCGAATTAGATTCAGACACTTTTGACACCAAAGGAGACGCGGCTCTTGATTTATGTGAGCAGAAAACTAAAGCCGAATCCGAAAGTTCAAGTACTACTAATTCTTCCATGAGCGATCTAAATCTGGAAACTTTGGAGACTCAATCTCCGGATCACTGGATCATTATCGAGGGTTACGACACCTCAAACATTTTATTCGAAAGCCCCAGACTGATACCTGAAAGACGCGCAAGTCAATTGTTCTTGGTAACTACTGAGAACGAAGAGGCCGTGGATGAAGATGCGGATGGATACAGGAGTCCTGTAATGAATACTCCTGAACATGTTATTGCGGAAGAACCCAAAAGTATCAATGCCGCTGAGTGAGAGGATACCGATTCGAGCAAACAGGATGGTTGTGAGATCAACTCATACGATGGTAGTATTGGAGTTGACCATGATGACGACGACCAAACAGAAGAAAACGAGAACTATGAAAGTCATGATGTTGATGACGAAGAGGGTGTAAATTTGGACAATAACGATGGCAGAGAAGCCACAGATGATGGCTTCGTTGGGGACAAAATAGACGAAACCGAAATCACTAACGGTACGGGAACAGCTGAAGCAATGAGCGGAATCATCAGACACCATCAGGGAAATGTGTGAAAAGTATACCGCTTGGATTTCAGTCACCGCAAATGAAACCATGGAAGTAGCCAGCAACGAAAGCATTGCGGATATTTTCAAGAAACTTTGCGAAGATTTCACATGTGTTGTAGTCAATATATACCAGACTCCAGAAGCAGAAAGTGAGAAGACCATTGACGTCGATGATGTTGCATATCATGAAGCGCAGGAACCTGAGGGGGTAGATGTCACTACGAAGCAGCATATTGAAGACTATGTCAACAACACTGATATGGTGAAAGACGAGATAAAAATTGAAGACGAGAATGAAGATTCTCTCCTGAAGCACAAAGCCGAGGAGGATAGAGTCATGGAGGAGGATGCCGACGTTCACGACAATATGACTGCTGAAACAAAAATCGAGAAAAGCATCGAGTTTTCGGCCAATGAACGAAATGACACGGGCAGCGATCAGCCACTTGCACGAGCAAATCAGAGCGCGGACAAGTCAAATGATCGGAGTTCTCCTGTGAATGAGGTGCAAGGAAAAGGCTCGAGTCTTGGGAATGAAGGCGGCTATGGTAGCTCTTTGTGGCGGTTTTGTGATCGTTTGCAGAGGCCGCAACAACAAGATAAGTCGAATGGTGCGGAAGTTCAATCAGAGGTATAATCAGAGGTACAACCAGAGGTACAATCGGAGAAAAAGAATGATTTAGAACTTGAGGGGGACGATATCGATGAAGTACATGTCGTTCCAACGGAGTTTGCATATGATTAATGAATTGGCGGAAGAGGGTGCCTGTAATTGACATGCTATCTACAAATATGAGGTAATTGAACAATAAAGAGACGATGATGAGAAATCGATAACCTATGAGTGTGATGTGATGCTTTGAAAAAGAAATGAAGATGAGCATGATATTTGCCAAGCAACTAACTCAGTCTCAATCTTACACGTGATCTGATACCGTCCAAGCTTTCTACAACATTCCAGGCTTTAGCCGTGAGTTTAGTGTTACATGACAGGGCTTCTAGGCTTATCGGTCGCAGTGCCTACCTACAGCGACGTATTTTGAAGGCTAAACTCAATTTCACCCGTCCACCAGATCCCTTGACATCTGATACATATTAAAAGCTCCCAAATATCAATTTCTAATGCAAGAGAAGTGATCAAACATTCCTAGTTTCCTACCAAACAATATCTTCTAAATCCACTACACTCTACTAGGGCTTACCTATTTACATCCATCCATCTCCACACTCCACCTTACCAAGATGTACATCTACAAATGGATACTCATCACTCTAACCATCCAAGTTACCCACTTATCTCACCATTCCTACCAATCTAAACTCAGTCTTTCATCCCGCAAAATGATCAACAAAAGCCTCCACCCTTTTTTCCCCATTACCCCAGCACCGTCAACGGCAGCCTTAGCTCTCCTATCCACGACCTCTTTATTACGAGGCGCAACGGCACCGGTGAGATGTTACGAAAGTATTCAAACACTTGCTTCTGCGAACAATTGCAAGAGTGGTTGTATGGAATGTGTTCAGGGTGATGTGGTCTTAACAAAGGTCATATGAATGGACTCTGGAGAACGACAGTGTATTGTCAACGTTGAACATGAGATAAATGTGTCTCTGGCTTAAATGGAGATGGAGAACTCATGGAGACTCTTAATCTGGGTACAATCCATGATCACTACCAAAATACTTTGGGGCAAATGGATTGATTCTATAATTATATTTCGTTGAGTAATAACGAAGCCGATCTAGGACGAAGTGTGTGCTTTCAAAATATTATGCGCCAGCAGTAAAATTATACTTGCTCTTTCATCCCCCCCCCCAAAAGTTACATACCATATAATAATTACAGTATACTGCATTGTTGTTTTTTCCTTTCGCGCCTTATACCCCAATATTCCACCATAACTCCAAATGATTTCAAAATCCACTACTTCAGTTCCATCATTGATCACTCTCCACCAAATATTTTCCCACAATCATCCACCACCAATCACCTACCTCCCAACCTTCCATATCTTGTGCCTCTCTAGCAGTTACGCCCAACCCTTCATAATCACATTTTTGCCAAACACCCTTTTCAACTCCCCAATCAATCAATTGTTTGATTTCCCATGCGTCGAGACTCGGTGCGAACACCCTTTCCAATCCCTCAATGTCAATACTACTTCGTAGAACGAATGCACCGGTAACTCCTAGGAGCACTTTTCTCCACATTCCCTCAATTACTTCTCCCGTTATACTTCTCCAAACCGGAAGCGCACCTCTTGCCCCAACAAATGGAGGTTCCGAAATCATGGCGTCAAGGTTAGGTATTGCGTGATTGTAAACATAACTTGAAGTGGGCGCGATATCCATTTGAAAACGATATTTCGCTTTGTCGATAAGTCTTGTTTCGTACCCGCCTTCGGTGAGACCAAATTTGTTCGCTCTAATGTTACTTTTTTGAATGTGAATACACCCATTAGCTTGTAGATTCGTAATAGCCAACACGGCACCTTCATTCACACCCCAAGGTATGTTCACAATAGACTCCCCATTTCGAAACTTTTGATCCAAGTCACACTTGAATAAATAAGCTTCTCGGTATTGTTTCTCGAAGATGATCTTTCCCGTACGAACGAAAACGGCGTTGAAAGCATCTGGAAGATTGTAAACTCGACCATTAGTACGAAGGCGTTTATTTTTGGTGATTATCTTGTTCTTCAACAAATCCTCTCTAGCTTCAATGATGATAGCGCTTGGAAGACGATTGAGCAACTTGTTTGCTGCTTTGCTATCCCATAAATGATCTGGTGTAACAGCTGCGGCCCTGCACCAAGATTTTGCAAGTGCGTAGTCGGTTATCTCATAATTGAGAGCATCTGGTTTCAACGGGTTTGAAAAAGGTACAGAATTGACAAGATTCATTCTTTGATAAACGGCAGCAAGGGTGTAATAATACTGTTCGGACCAGTAATTACTTCGAGTTTCGGGGACTAGTGCATATTTTTTCTTAAGTTCTGGGAATGAGCTTGGAAGGTCAAAGACTTTTTCTTCTTGTGTGGGAGTATTGATTTTTGACATGGCCCAATCGATTAAAGCGTTGAAATCATAGTCGACAATATGATCATAATCGATTGATTGGACTTGACCTTTTCGATATCCCTTGATGAAAGCTTCTTGGAAATCTTTTGTCAATTTATCGACCATTGGCTTTTTCTTAGCCCAAACAACCTGCCACCATTTCCTCAGGAAATTCAAGGAATAATCTTTAAAGACCGTTCCAAGAATAACCCAATCAATGTTCATTTCTAATCCTCCAAGCATTGCTCGAATGATAACAATACCCATGGTCAACCTCGCTTCTTCATCAACAGCTAAACCTTGCTCCTTGAATCTTTGTCTCTTTCTGCGAATATTCATATCATAATTGACCATTTGAGTACCGAGTAATTCTGCGGCGTATCGAACATCTCTGTGAACACCAAGAAGATCATCTGGCGCAGATGTGAGACGTCTAGGCATTACCCATTTGTTTTTCAGGCCTTTACGTACTCCTACATGTGGCTCCTTTTTCTGTTGTCTCTTTCGTTTGGCCCCAACAATGGTGTTTTGCTCTGGTGGTAGATCATCATTGTCTTCGAGAGCTGAGTATGGTATAGTTTCCATTGTAAAAGCAGTACGATCAAGCCATTGCATCTTCAGCTTTTCGGCATCGGTGCAAGCTACAAATGGATGAGCAAGATTCCACAGTCCAGCAGATTCGTCGAAAAATAAATGGGATAAACCTGGTGTCGCAGGGGTAGATGGTATGGAATCCAGACCAGGATTGTTCTGGCGACCAATTTCCTTTTCTAGTGGTTTAGCCTCGTAGTGATTCAAAATATCGAGTTCAGTCAAGCCATTAATACTAGCTTCCGTCAAGTCCATGGGATCTGGGGTTAATGATCTGTAAGCTCGCTTTGCAAGACCAGTATGTCTTGATATATCAGGATTCTTTTGTGATCTGGTGTGATATGTATAATTTCTTTTTGGCTGTCCATTAGTCTTCGAAATCTCTACTTGACCATCTGGTCGGTCAACAAGATCTCCCCGAATATTCTTGTTGAGAAAGAACTTTGATGGAACGGAAGGACGCATGATTGGTTTGTTAGTATGAATAACTGGTCGATGACTATCTTCCCGCTGCTGAAGATAATGTTCGCCTTGAGGGTTTCCAACAGTAATCTTATTTGGTCTAGTAAATATGGGATTTACACCATGTCCAAACGGTCTCACAGACCAAGAACCAGAATCACCTTGTATGAATGTAGTTGGCTCCGGAAGACGCTCTCTTATCTTGTAAGTTCTCTTTGGTTTGGCAGGTGTATTCCATGCGCTATTCGCCGAGTTTTGTAGCATTGTTGATTTTGATGACCACGTATGTTCCTGTGAAGCAGTTGTACCCTTTCTTCTTTCTAGTTCCTCGAGATTGAAAGTGTGAGCAGGACGTCTCATACGAGGTTTTATTGATTGACTACCATTGATATTTGCCGGAACCTGTTGGTACAATGGATGAAATTGCGACTCTCGCGTGGGGGTAGATCCAGGAAAGGGTGAAAACTCGCTTCCAGCGCCATCTGAATCTACATCGAGGTCCATTGGATCGTCTTCAAGGTCATCCTCGGCTTCCAATGCGTGAGCCTCAGGTTTGAACTCGTCATCTGAAGAATCGCCCCTACCTAGCTCCCCATCGGATCCCAGTACATCATTGAGTTGCGTTTCTATAACCTTCGGTGCCAAAGGAGGAAGCTTTCCAATAGAATTCAAAATCTCCAAAATGACACCTGGAGGAGAAAACCCAACTGGAATGTAAAATTCAGGATGCTTTGCTTTTGTATCATCTTGCATTTTGGTAATATCAGCTGAGGATGGGGTAGCCGCTTTTGGATCAAATAAAATGCTCCTAGTTATAGTTCTACTCCTAGCACCTGCAAAGTCAAATGTGATCTTTGAAAGTGCTCCATCCTCAAGTAACTCATCAAGAGCTCTGACAAACAACTTGTGTTCTGGAAGCACCCTAGAATTATGATAATACTTGAGCCAACATGCAACAAATGCAAACCAAAGGCCACGCTCTCCCGGTAAAGCATTGTTATTAGCCCGAAGAAGACAAAGAATGATATCTTTAACAACCTTCTCTTTCGACAATGGTGATACTGATTTTGGAAGCAAATGTTCTGGGGTTTGAGGTAATGACGGGATTTTGCCAAGTTCTTCAACGAGCGATGGTTTCTGCTTGACAATGTCAGCAATTTCCAAAAGTGCTGGTCGTTCCCCTCCCAAAGATTTGTAGACTTTTCCATTTCTACCAATGACCGGATCCCCTCGATCTCCTCTACTTTTGTCTGGAGATTTTTTCAACCCGGCAACTTTAGCAGCCCATTCAAAAACGGAGTCATCTGAGTCGCCGTGTTCAGACTCAGACTCGGATTGATCTGACGGTTCGGGTTGAACTTCTTTCTCTGGAGAAGTCACAGATTTACTTTTTGCCTCTGTCACTTTCGCCTTTTTCGGCGTCTCCTTTTGTGGTTTTCCATGTTGGCGTGGCTTGGTAGACGGAGCCTTCCAATTTGGATTGCATGTTGTTTGTGATTTAGAAAGATGATACTTGATACCTTCTTTATTCTTGAACCTAGAGCCACATTTTTCACATTTCCAGGGCTTGAGAGCGATCAATTCTGGATCTTCTGCCTGAATTATCTGGGGATTGGCCATTTGCACAAAAATTCGAGCAGTAACCAAATTTGCTCTCATTTCATTTGCAGACTTGTGAGCTTCTTTGGTGCGAGCAATCAAAAATCGATGAGCAGTAATTGAATCGTCATCCATCTTCTCTTTCAGGCGTAACTCCATCGGATTCGAACCCGGCATAGACACGATTGGGTTTTCGGCCATTTTAAAAACTTGCATTGTCCAAGTAGGCTCAATTATGCTTTCAGCCATTGGCCAGAATTTTAGTGTTGTTTTATCAGAAGATAAGATTAAATTCCCCATCACAGAATTGTAGATCGAAGACATGCGAGCAAAGATTGATTCAAATGGAATAGCATCGGCCTTTTCGAATCCTTCAAGATCATCGGGGTTAGCTGCTGGTGGTACTGTTCCAACTGGCTCGGCGATAGATGTTGAGGATTCTGGCAATATTGAACTCACCCCCGCTGAGATCTGGGGGCTTGGTATCTTTTTAATGTCAGGTATCAATTTCTTCTGTTGCTTCAATTCTGGAGCTGATTCGGAACCGGGCTGGATAGACGGTGATCTGTGGGATTGAACTGGAATGGGCTCCACCGAAGTGAGCTTGGACTGAGGTTCTACAGTTTCGGAAGACTGATTTTGATAAGATGCATGATCAGGTTGAGACACCTCCAGAGACTGCATTAATGCAGGATCTTGAACAGAGGAAGAAGAGGCTTCTACTTGTGTTTGAGATATTGTCTGACCTTGAGCCTGCTGTTCAATCTCGGGTCTATATGGGTGTGCATGACTGTTGGTAGAGGGAGAAGAGTGTGGTAAAAGTGTTGGGGACTGAGTCTGAGCCTTTCTCTCAATTTCTGGTCGGGCTGGATGTGCATGGCTTTCGGTAATTATCGCATGTTGTTTAGATAACGAAGAGTCTATTGGACCGAATTGCTCGCTGAGAGGCGAAGATACTTGCACTGGTCCCAAACTGTCTTTTCTTCCCACAAGTCTCTGTGGTTGTTGAATCTTTGCAGAAAAGGTAGTTGTAGAATATGGAGATGAATTATATGGAACGGGCGAAACAGACCCAGGTTGAAATACATGGGGGTGATTTGTTGACCTGGGACTACTATATGGAGCTAGACCGTTGGCAAGATTTTCTTGCGATGTATGAGACGATGTAGATGGATTTAAGCTATGAGAGACAGAAGCAGGACTTGATTGCTGGATTGAGTCTACGCTCATTGGAATAAACGGAGAGGCTTCCGATGATAGAGTATCCGGAGCTAAGAAACCTGCCGGCCATTGAATCTTGGATCTTGCATGAGGCGGCTTAGGAGGTGATGGTGGTAAAAATCCTGCAGGCCATGAATCTTGCATTGGGTCTTGACGGTCTGGGCTTTGTTGTATAGGACTTTGATGATCCGGGGTATGAATATGAGCCGGATTTCTAGTCAGCCAAGAGTTCAGGGCTGGGAACGTAGGTGTAGCCTGTCGACCGTCTTGATACAAACATTTGTACCTATCAGCTGGAGATGGTGTAAATATAGCTGGTACGTTGCCGCGGTATGATTGTTGATAATGGCGACCAGCAACTTGCTCATATTCAGACTGCTCTCGGTACGGTGAAATATGAGAGTTGAGATTCGGTGCTGGTGGCAGAGAATTTCTCATAGTTGCGTGTGACGGATGTGTTTCTAATGATACATTCCATCGTTTTGGTTGTGACTGCTCCATAGAAGCTGAACGAACTTCAGTCTGAATTGTGTCAGCCTGGCGAGAAAATTCACTATTGAACTTTTCAAATTCTAGTGCTAGTTCTTCGTTTGACGGGAAAGAGTCGGGGTGTGTATTGGAAGTTGATGATGGCTTTGCAGCTGACAAGGCCTTGAACTTTTCGAACTCCAGTGCCAGTTCCTCATTCGATGGAAATGAGACAGAATTGAGATTGGGTCTTTCCAGTTGCTTTTCAGGCGTAAGTATTGGAATATCTGCAGTCTTTTCAGTCTCAATAATGGAAGCTTCTGATGGATTCGCTGTCACAGCACTGGGCACGTCTGGGAGAATTTCAGGTCCAGGAATAGGCGCATCCAAAGATTTTTCAATTCCAGCACCAAGTAATTCCATTGGCTTTTGTGGTTCGGTGTCCGATGTCCTTGGGCGCTTTGAATTGTCTGTTTCAGATTGTTCATCTCTCTTTCTTTTCTTACGCTTTTCCTCTTCAGTGGCAGCGACATTCTTTGCAGCTTCTGACTCAGCTATAGATTGCAAAGCTTTTCTTCTCTCAGTAAGTACCTCAATCCATGTTCCCTTTCTATTTTCCAACAAATTAGGGTCACGAAGTTTTGCGGACTTTATCAATACAACAAATGTTTTTTTTCGAGCCAGCGATCTTCCTTCCTTAGAATCAAGAGGGTTTATATAGACGCCATCGATTCCAGCTTTGCGCTTCTTATCATCTTCTTCCCTTAACAGATCCTCATACGAGGTGAAAATTGGTTCACGGTGCCTTCTGTGGGGCTTAGATTTTGACGGTGTAGGGGAAGCCTCAGATTTTCCGGATTTTTCGACAACCGCAGGCTCAGGCTCTGGTGATGCTGTTTGAGTGGGAGTAAAGAATTTTCTGGGTTTTGGTTGTCTACGAGATGTACGGAGTCCCGATTCTGAGATTTGAAGTCCCGTATCGGCTGTATCCTCAGAGTTTATCTCTGGCCGCGACTCACTAGAAATTTCTTGGCGTTTGACTGTAGATCCTTTAGGACGACCACGTTTTTTGGGCGCAAGCTTTGGAGTTGAGAATGATTCCAGCTCGGCGAGTGACGAGAAGCTCATAGATGCAGGATCCTTCGGAGAACCCATTTCTATTGCTGAACCGCTAGGGGTGGCTTGACGAGCTGTACCTTTCGGACGGCCACGCTTCCGTTGTCCCGGTACAGGTCCGTGACGAGTTGCTTCCCGCGCAAAATAATCAATGTCATCTGCAGCATCCTCAATTGGAGATGTCTGTTGGACACCTTTACTAGGGGCGTTGCTTGATTGTGGAGAATGGTATTGATATCCAACTATAGGTGCAGATTGACCATTTCTTGACGAATGTATTTTTATTGGATGTTTTGGGATACTTATGTGTACTGCATCGCGTTGCTTATCGCTGGTTGTGGCGGTAGTATTTGAGGCTTGTTCTGACGAATCTGGACGTACAATATTAGAGGCTACGACGATAGTATCTGCATTGGTCTCTGGCGAATTATCAATCTCAGGTGTTGGCGTAGGGGTACTTTTGGCCGGAGGATGCCCATTACTTTCGACAACCTTTGGTTCATTATTATTTGTAAGATGGGCAATTTGGGGAGTGTGAAACCCGTCAGCCTCGGCGCGTGCTGCATTCAAAAGGCTTTGCAATCTTCTTTGCGAACCTTGCGTACCTCGTGGATCATCTGCAATCTTGTAAGACTTCTTATTACCAGACATCGGCTCAGAGGAAGGTGCTGCCTTTGTAAAAGATCCGTTCGGGATTGAATCCAATTGTTCTTGTGGTTCTGGTGATTGTTGCATCGGAGTTGTCACATCCGGAATGACTGAGCCAGGAACTGCTTTTGTTGATGAATCATTACTGACAATGGTAAGTTGCTCGATTGGCTCTCGTGCTCGCTGTATCGGTGTTGTTCTATCTAGAATGACTGGTCCGGAAGGGTCGATTAGAGCTATTGAGGTAGTAGGCCTTTCGTTGCTACTCGCTATCCTCTTTTCCAAATCCTTCTCGCCGAGTTCCTCCAAGGTGGTATCAATCATTTCAACATCAATTGGCTCTCCTCGGACCACAACTTTTCTGACACCATAGCCTAGAGCGACTGTATCACTCAACTCCAAACTCTTCATTACACCAACCTCTTCCTCAGAACCCTCTATCCTAACGTCATCCCGCTTGATAAAATCTTGCCAGACCTCATCTTTGATTTGCTCATTGGCAACAATTTCTTCCTTGAAATTTTCATCAAACTTCTCAGAAAGACTTTGTATAGCGATTCCTAGAGATTTTCCATCAGTTATGATCTCAACCTTGTGAAGGTCTCTCTCCCTATGGTTGACAGAGGCGGGTGATCTTCGTGGTCGATCACACGTGATGGACTATCACATCACATTCGCGAGAAACTCCAAAAAATGATGAAAAAGAGTGCCCCGCTCTCTCAAATGCGACTACAGACCACTGGACCATCGTAACATTTTTGTTGAAACAAGTCTGCTCATGAAGGAAACCGTGAATATCGATGACCCCAGTCACACAATATCCAATAGAAGGATTAATGGAATAAAATTTGACAAGGCTGAAAAGATTTTGAATATAAAATTTGACTCACCCTGCTCTCCTAAGCTCTTCACGAATTGATAAAACCAATCCATTACTTCCTCTTTTCCTTTTGGCATTGTGAAAAATTATCAACTCGCATTGTCTTATGAATTGAACGTGATTGCAATTGATAGAAGCAATAGAAATTTATCAAATTTTGAGGTTGTAAAAGTTGAAGTTGTATCTGTACAATGTTTATATTTTTGCGACATGTGAATTGAAAGACAATTGATAAATCTGCGATGAAGGCTTTGAAGCTTAAAATTTTAAGCGGGTATGGTATTGCGGGGTTTTGGTAGCCTTGGTACATGCACTAGTCAAATCAATGATTGGTCAAAGTGAGTTTTAATCAGGCTGTGACCTCGAAGTGAATATATTAATTGGAATTGAAAACCAATAATGACGAGCAAGGCTGATGAAAATTACTTGGTTTGATCAAATGAAAGTATTCGGGGGTTATTCAATATTACTAATAAGTTTCTCAACGAGTACATTAAAAGGGTTAGTATTTCTTATTATCTTGAAGTAAATTGGAGGTGTTCCATTCAAGTATATTATTGTGACTTGACTTTGTCCTTGTGATCCTTCATCATTTGTCTATATGATTCAACGATATTCTTCCTCTCTTCACCCAATTCTTCTCTTCTCCTTAAGCTTCCAGCTGCTTTGGGTACATCTGAAACTTCTACCTTGACTCCATGAAGCTCCTTAAACTTAGCTTTAGGAACTTTGGTGAAAGTTGGCGGAGCCTGTACCACATCATTCAACCCAGCCTTCACCTCACCTCTATTCTTCGCGATTATTGCCCAAGGATCATCATTCCCATCATCGATTTCTCCCAGAACCTTCTTCTTCTTCTTTTTATTCTTGCCTGTCTTTCCATCTGTGTTTATGTCGGACTTCCACTGCATTTGCCCTTCTCCATCCATCTCCATATCATCCTCCTCCCTCAATTCTGCTGCTTCTTGTCGTTTCTCTTGAATCTTTTTCTCTTCTTCTCTCCATTCATCATACATTCGATGCATCTTCTTCTCCGTCTTGGTACGTCCCTGTTTGAGACCTAATGGATCTTTACCGCCTTTAGCGCTTTTATGAATCAATCCTCCAACAGGTAATGCCGCGTCAACTCTTGCTGAAAACTCCGACATCTTTTCTCCAGGTCTAATTTTAGGAATTTCCATGGCTGGCTCTTCTTTCTTTGGTGTTGATACATTCTTCTTTTCCGAATCGTCGTCGTTATTCTTCGCCTTTTTGGCTTTTGGTTTTCTCAGTCCATCATCTAATCCTTTGGGTAATTTCTGTCCGGATTTAAAGGCCATGAGCCTGGCAAATGCTTTCGGTGTGTCATCGTCCGCATTGGTGTTTCTCTTTCTCTTCTTGTTTTTGCGCGTAGGATTTAGTTCGCTGGTAAAGATTCCGTTGGCATTGCTGGATTTAGAAACAGGTAGAGGTTTTGCGATGGTAGTGGGTGGTAGGTTAATACTATTGAAACATTGGGTTAGTAATTGAAAGTGATAACTCATTTTGATTGGAGAACTCGTACGTAGATTTATCATCCCCCCCTTTACGTGTATGTTTATGCGGCATATTTTCCAAGTGACTGAAAGTAATGTAGTATTGTCGTTGTCATTGAAAATCTCTAGTGATCTAGATTTGCGCAAAGAGATCATGGAAATTAAGTTTTTCTGCCATGAGGTCTTGGGCGGTGAGCTCCTTAGCTTGGCATCATTGATTTCCATTGCATAATTCTAGACTAAGATCTCCCATAATAGCCACTCAAACTAAGAGAAATCGCATTGTCAAATCAAATACAAATTAATAATAAATTAAAAACACCAATAACTTTATGATATAGTTATCTATAACGTGGTTTATTAGTATGCAGGCTATATCATTATATGGGCCACTTGAAAATACACCAAAATTTGATTTTTTTTTAATATTTGTATTTTAATAATTAATCATTATTTTTGTAAAAAAAAAGAATGCTAAATAATAATAAAAAATTAGTTTTTCAGAAATCTAGTTTTTATATAAATATTCTTATTATATTATAAAAAAGTGGAAATTATCACGATTTTCATTATAAAAAAATTATTTCTTCAATAACTACTATAATAATTCAAATTTCTAATAAAAAATTAAATTTTTATAATAATTATATAATTAAATTTCAAATTTTCAAATTTTATAAAATTATATTATTAAATAAAGAAAATGCACGATTATACACAGACAAATTTTGTATGTAAAAGAAGGTGGCTCATATAATGATATGGCCCACATGCTGATAAACCACGTTAATCACCTCGTTCGATGAACTTACATAATATTTTACGATATACGATTATCATGCCACCTCCGCTCTTAAACCTAAAACTTGAGAAAATCACAAAACGATGGTCTCGTTCCCAAGTATCTTTGTACTTGATGGAAGATGGATCTTGAAGCATTCTTAATGGTGGCTTTTAACACGTGCCCAACGAACGCGGCACGTTTGTCTTTGATGTGCCCCGATAATTGACCCTGATGGTCTAGATCCATTTGTTTGTTCCATGGGGTAAGATTGAAATGGCATATGAGATGAAGGCGTCGAAAGGTGTGCTTAATCTATAGGAAATGCTTGGACATATGACCGAAAGCAGAATCATATCCGGGGATATATGTACGTTGAGATGCAAAATGTCTAAAGGATCAATGTGACCATACAAAACATGTTTCTAGAATCATTTGGTTCTAGCAAGTCACAACTGAAGAAAGTGTGCCACCAACATTTCCATATTAGTTATTCCTTAAATTTCTTAAATTTCCCATATTAAATTCTTCGTTCCCTACATAATTCTTTTCCTCTCCCTGACAAGCATGATCCTTTAACTTTTTCCTGAATCATACAATATAACGCAGCTGCGGGTATTTTCTACAACCATATACGAACTTCCCAATCAGAAAGCTTCAGTCTCATCCAAATCCTCATCCTAAAAATCCTACCTGCCCTACCGTTACCAACAACTATACTAGACCAAATGTCAACTAACTGTTTTACATATACGGAAATACTCCAACGCCAACTATAATACGAGCTCTCCTTCATCGCCTCATCCTGCTGTTTGATCTGTCAGCAGTGACATTTCGACATTTCCCTCCAACGAACGCACGGAACTTGGGGTCTGGAGAGCGCTTTGAATCTACACCAAAACAGCAAAACTGTCTCAAGTATTTAATACCTCATAATTGTCCTTCGAAACTTGGTCCAAGCAATTATTCAGACTCAAACGACAACTGTTTTCATATTCAAGTCAAGTATTCAAGGGAACTCTTCAATTCGAATTGGAATTGTTTTAAACATTTCTATTTATACTGGACTGAAAGACCCTGCCAAGACTCTCAACTTTCTTCGATACGACTATCAATACGGGGAAAAACATGTCCCACTTATCACCCTGTCATGGCACCGAAGCTACTGTGATGTATGATGAAATGACGGAAATGTTAAATGGTTCCATACGGAATTCTCATGATGATGATATCCAAGCTTCAAATCATTCATCTAGATTCTTAACTCGTTCTAGTTCACCAATGGAGAAATCAAGAAAACCAGCAGATTCTTTCGAATATTCGGATACACCGACTCTTCGAGGTGAATTCATATCAAGACCGAGGAATTCGAATCAGACGAGTAGGGCGAGTAGGGCGAGATATTGGTTAAATAAGATGACTTTAAAGAGTAGGAGGAAATCATCATTTGATGAACATGAAGGATTTGAAGATTTCAATACAGATACAACTTCAGATATTGGTGATGGGTTATTGACGGGTTTACATAAAACGACCAGACGGCAAACGAGAAAGAATGGAATATTCAATTATTTCGTCTTTGGGGGGATAAGTGGTCTAGGAATATTGTGAGTTTTTTAAACATTCTCTACTTAGCAATTTAGTACTGATATCTCTTAGATCAATTCTTCTTTTCACGAATCTTATACTCGGGGCCGCAACATTATTTTGGGGTCATGATATTGATGATGTTTTGAGAAATTGGGGGAAATCTGGAACAGGAACAGAAAATTTGGCTTGGTATCCAACCGACTTCACACGAGATATAAACCCTATTCCATGTCATTCGCACAATGATTATTGGAGGCGAGTACCATTATTCGATGCATTAAGAGCAGGATGTACAGGAGTGGAGGCTGATGTTTGGCTTTTTGACAATGATTTATACGTTGGACATAATACTGCATCATTACAACGAAATCGAACATTTCAATCCCTCTACATTAACCCTCTTGTCGAAATTCTCGAACGACAAAATCCAACCACTGATTTCTACAATGGAACAAATCATGGAGTTTTTGATGCGGATGATGGGAAATCCCTAACACTTTTAGTGGATTTAAAAACTGATGGTGCAGAAACATGGGAATGGGTCCTCCAACAACTCGAACCATTACGAAAACGTGGATGGCTTTCTTACATGGAGAATGACACTTTACATACTCGACCTATTACTGTTGTTGGAACGGGTAATACACCATTCGATGTCCTTACGAAGAATTCAACATATCGCGATGCCTTTTTTGACGCGCCACTTGAAACAATGTGGGAACCAAAACATGTTACTGAGGAAATGAAAGATTGGTCTAATATTGAAGACGATTCATCAGGAGAAGATCTAGATGAAGATGAAGAAAATGCAGAGGAACAGATCTCAGAAACTTCTACCTCGATACCGATTCCAGCGAGAAAACCTATGCCGATTCCTCATAAGAAACCAAATAATGGACAGGGTATGTCTGGTGTATCACCAGATACTGATTTTAATCCTCTAAACTCATATTACGCATCTGTTTCTTTTCACAAAGCAGTGGGTACGGTATGGAGAGGAAGGCTAAGTCCTAAACAAATGAAGATCATTCGTGGGCAACTTAGAGGGGCACATAGAAGGGGACTGAAGGCTAGATATTGGGATCTGCCAAGTTGGCCGATTGGGCTAAGAAATCATATTTGGGATGTTCTTGTTAAAGAAGGAGTTGATTACCTGAATGTAGATGATTTGAGAGCGGCAGCAAAACAAGTCTGGTGAGGGGATTATAGATTTTTCTCTCGGACAAGAATTTGCAAAGACAAGGACGATAAATGGTGCAATGCATAGTGGGGTGTGTATAGGATGGTTGATTGACGATCGTTCATCATGATGTTTAAATATTAGCATTGGGGCATTTCTTTGAGGGCTTCCTGGTGCATAGATGGCGTTTTGATCTGCATTAGCATTGGGTATACCTTGGGAGTAGTTTGACATGAAGGCATGATTAGTATGATATTCTATCCGAATAGTTTAGTATAAAAATCAATACAACATTTGCATTTTGGGTGTGGCTTGTGGTGAGATTTCGTTTATCCAGATCTGTGAAACGGCAGCCATGACCTGAGAAGAATGGATAGGCGAGAAAAGGGAAATTTTGGGGAGGGATGGGGAAGAACGGGTGAGGAAGGAGGTGTAAGGAAGGAGAAAGATGGGAGACTATTATCTCAAAGCCGATTCAATATGATGTGCCATAACTAATGGCAACGAGCAAAACTTTTCATCTCTTATCCGGATCGGAGCTCGCTATTGAAGTTAATTTGCAAGTGTGTCTGAGCAAAAAGAAGCGGGGAGCGTGAATTCTGGTTATTCAAAAACAAGCCTAGTAGAAATTCGATGTTAGAAAGTATTTCTAGAGGCAAGGCAAAGTCCCACTAGAGATGGCCAGGTCATTTTACCTACCCCAATAGTAACTCAACGTCAATCGGGTTCCCACTTGGGTGCCCATCGACCATGACATACATCCATAACATATCACCGCCACCACAAACTCCTTGACGCAATTTTTGGACATGAAAAAAGAAGAAACTGTTTGCTATCTATCTATTCTAATTTTTATTATCACTCATAAGAGGATTTAGGTGTCATAAAAGACTGCGCAGAATGGCTCCTATGAGTTATCATTCAATATCCCCACAAGGGAATAGTATAAAGGGAAAGAAACCATTCGCCATCCACCTAACGGGCATAGAACTGGTTCCATCTATTTTTTGTTCCTAGGATGCTGTGGACAAATCTTCTGGAAACTTAGATGATCTGGTGCACCACATCGGAGGCACACCTTATGTAGGCCATGTGTGCCCGTCGTACCAGCAAGATGGTTGTTGAGGCCTGCACACTGTGGGCTTTTCCCATCTGAATTTGATGGATGTGAGACTGATGGGCCTCGTCTCTCTTGTTCTCGATATCGAGAAAGGTATCCAATGAGTGGCGGATCATTTGGTATGACTGGTTGATGGTCTCTAAAACCCTCGCTGATAACTAGTGCACCTTGTCTTACCACTTGATCTAGATGGTGATTTCCCGAGATTACTTGCTGAGTTTGCTGTTCTTCAGTATCTGCATTCAGAGGTTGCGGCAGAGTCAATTCCTGTCGTCGGTGTGTGCGTTCCAATGAGGCTTGATTTTCAGTTTGAGTATCTTCTTCCTTCTGAGCCTCTGCAGTATCAATGTCTTCTGGTGCTTGGGTATGGCGAAGTCTCTTGGCAGTACGGGATCCAAATCCTTCCTCTCCTGCACGCTTCTGTTCCACAATGGATGAGGGTCCCTCCATTATATGCTCTGCGGTGTAACGGGTACCATCTGCTGCGTGGGGCGCACCATTCAACAATAGGAAGCTCGACAGTGGAAGGGGAGGAGGATTTTCAGATTCGAGAGTATCGATTCCTTTTTCTGTTTCAGTTCTGCCGCCTGCAGTAATATCTTCGGTGTTGGTAATCCGAGAGGGGCGCGAATCTGGTGAGTTTTCAGGTAAATCGGAAGGGTGTTGAATACTTGTGCTTGCTCGATCTCGCATTTGATGATGGTTTCTCAAATTGAGCGCCTGCTGAATTTGTTCAATATCTTGCTGTTGCGTCTGCATTTGAGTACGCATCTGTTGTATATGATCCTCCAACATTCTTATCTGTATTCCACCTTGCATCTGTGTTTGTGTTATCTGTTGCATTTGTCGTATCTGCTGTGTCCATGATACCACAGCGGGCGATATTCGAAATGGAGAAGCGGGTGATGGACTGATTAAAGTATGCGCCATGTCAAGCTCCAGATTCTGGTTGTCATCTTCTTGTATTTGGTCATCGCCATGATTCTGATAGCTTTGATCTTCTGAAGTATACTGGTCTCCATCAGGAGTATTGTTCTTTCGATTGTCCGCCATTTTTATGAGTCGAAATTTACTGTATGTTTTTGATGGTGGCCGCTCTATTTCTTCAAGTCGCAAATTGTTGTGGGAGACCAAGCAAAATCCGGCAGCTGGGCTGAATTTCAGTTTAAGTGAATTTCCTCTCAAGTGTTTGCGTCTGATCATCTCGGACTACTAAGCAATGTTTACGCGTCAGACTTTGGGGTTCTTCACATTTATATAGTAAGCTCAACAACATTGATAGAATGTCATAGCACGCACTTCCTGTCAAGAGCGCTGAATTTAGTTATAGTTTATATCAGCATGAGTTTGTAACATCGTGGTATCGCAAGACCATAGTATCCTTATTGTGAATTAGATTCCCTTTGAAAGATACTGTATTCTTTTGGAGAAGAGTGAACGGGTGTGACATGTGGAAAGATTATGGAAGTGATCAGATTGAAATGAATTTGTTACATATAGCGGGCTGGGGTTCCGCTCGGAAAAAGTTCCTCCATTTTGAGGTGATAATGATTGTAAAGTGGACCGCGGGATAAGGGGCAGCTTGAAGGTCGTGTTGAAGTATTTCTGATACTGGGTGGAGCGGATAGGTGCTTCTGGGACTACTTGTCTCATTTATAATTAGATATGGGATGAGTAGCATCATAGGGGCATGGTCAGATTAGTGGAATATAATATGAGAAAGATTGACCTCGGGAAGACAAGATTCAACATTTGTGCTTGCTTTAGCTCTTTTAGACAGTATATAAGGAATTACGGCGAGGAGCATCGCGGTTAAGATTACCACAACGAACGGTTCTGTTTGAGTGGTGAAGTGATCTCGTAGGAGACACAGCTGAGGAACCTACTCGGAGTGTTGCATTACTTCAAGGAAGCCGATGGATGGGTTCAATTCCCGGCAGTATATTCATTTCCTTTCGTGCTATAATAAGGATAGAATCCTGTACACAGCCTAGCCTTGCTATTCAACCACCATCTTTACTGTTACTCTCGAATAAGACAAGGCAATCATAAACTTTCCATCCTATCCTGTCAACAATAACATATTGCCATCTCTGAGTAGTTTAATGATTCATATATCTGAACTGATATAATATATACTGAAATAGACATGTCACACGATTATCTCCATAGTTCCAATATCAATCTTTACTTTTTATATAATAAAAAGGCAATAAGAGTATAGCGCGCTAAGGAATTTTGTTCTATAACAAACAAAGTTTGTAAAAGTATTTTTTTTTTTTTAATTTATCAAATAGTTAATTTCAATTTCAATTTCAATTATTATTGTTGTTATTCTTTAAGATGGATGATTTTATAAATATTGTGTTTTTGTTTAAGTAAATTAAAGAGAAGATTAATATAGTTTATCAGTACGTGCATTATATCAGTATGTGTACTACTCATTTTATATACAAAATTCATCTGTGTGTAATTATACACTTTCTTTATTTATAAATTAAAATTTCTGAAAATTTAATATTAAATTTCTAATTATATATGAATTATAAAAATCTAATTAATTGTAAGAAAAACTTAATTTATAAAATAGTTATTATAGAAATAATTATTTTGTAACAAAAATCATAACAATTTTCATTTTTTCTAAGATTTAATAAGAATATTTATATAAAAACTAGATTTCTAAAAATCCATTTTCATATAATTATTTAATATTTTTTTTTTTCTAAAATAATGATTAATTATTAAAATAAGAATATTAAAAAAGGCCTAATTTTAATGTATTTTGAAATGATACACATACTGATATAATATACGCACTAATAAACTACGTTATAAGAGATGGTGATAATTAAGAAAAAGTTATTAAAAAGTTTTTCGAAAGTAAACTTAAGGTTTTTTGAAAAAGATTAAAACTCAAGAAGTTAGAAGATACTCCTTTGGAATATGAGATTAGAATCCCAAATTCAATTTGTGCTTACTTCTGTATGTTTATATTCAATTTATTTTCTTTTTAAAATATTTAATTAATTTTTTGATAGGGTATGAGAATGGCATTAAGAAGGTATATGAGCTCTTCCCTGATGCATTCACGCCCAGATCGAGATCGAAGGCTCCAGAAGCCAAGATTAAGAAGGTTGAGAGATCTGTCGTGGCACCATCACCACCAAGCTCGTCCACAACCTTGATTGCTGGTATTCCGTTGCAAGATTGGTTGGCGCTTAAGCAAGGAGATCCAGAAACTGCCCAGGAATTGATGGAGAATTGGAAGGCTGCGCAAGCAGAGAAAAAAGCCGAAGAGGCAAAGGCAAAGGCAAAGGCAAAGAAAGAGGCTGAAGAAGCAGAGGCCAAGGCAAAGAGAGAGGCTGAAGAGTCGAAGGCTAAGCCGAAGTCAGATTCTACCGCCAAGAAAGAAGGTTCGGAATCAGATGTTGATTTGTCGCACCTGCTCGACAACAGAGAGACCTCAGCGTACGCGCCCGGTGGAGCATGGAGAAATAGATTGCAGCCAAGTCAAGATAGAAAGGGTTCTAAGTCGCAAGATTCGAATCAGAAGAAAGGTTCCAACCCTCAAAGTAAAGATGAGAGAGAGAGCAAGCAAGTCGAATTCACTCTTCCGCTTCGCTCAGACATGCAGTGATTGATGAATGTCGCTGTCCAGTCTCAGCCTGGTCAGGTCTCCAAGATGTTTGTCGGACCGAAAGGAGAGTACGTCCATGAATTAGAGAACTACTTCAAGATCAATATTGTGAAGTATTGGAGAAAGAATGGGAAGTTCTCGGTGCTGCTTCTCATTCCATAGCCATGGAAGAAATACAAGCATTGGGACAATGTTCCAGCAGAATACAAGCGAGCTCTCAACGCAGCATACCAATTTTTGGAGCTTTGGGCTCAATTGAATAATCGCCCCGAGACGAGAACAGCTTTGGAGTTTCTCAACATTTTGTTGAAAGATCCAGAGCAAGTACCTCAAGATGGTCCTTTGAAGGAATTCCTTCTGAAGACCAAGAGAATTTTGAACAGCCCGAATCACGTTTCGAATTTTTTGAAAACTTCTGGTGGCAATTCGAGTTGGGCAGGATTTTCTAACAGCGGCCCAATGTCAGGTGGAGGACTTCCCTCGACTGATTTAAAGGGAGTTCAGAGCCGACTCGAGCCATTGCGCAGTGTTGGCGATAACCTCGGAAGCTCTGAGGATGAGATTCAGATTGCCAAGTTGACTACTGACATGGAAGCAATTTTGCTGGCTAACGAGGTCACGGAAGAGGAGATGCTAGATCCTAATGGACCTATGCAGAATGAATCCAAAGCTCGCGTTAATTGGATCAATTGGCGTAATCAGAGAGAGGCTTTGGTCAAGAAGAGAAAGACAATCTCTGCTGTTTACAAGGGAGGTGTCAATGTCAATGCAGTGACATTCGGTGATCCAAATCCGTTTGTTTTACTTGCAAAGAAGGAATCGAAGGAGGAATTGAAGAAGGGATTGGAGAAGGAAGGTCCTTCATCTCCTGCTGAAGCAGAGAGTGAAGAGACATCAAAGACTATTACTGAGGGGGGTGAAGATGCTGGTGGCGACACCTCGGTAGATTAAGTCAAGAATATGAGGGGATTTGAATGGAGGTGGGGGAGAGGGAAGGAGAGAGGGTGGATGAAAATTATGAACTCTTGAGAGTTGATTGAGTGATTCCTGAAGGAACACAATACCTCCTGAAGGAGATGATTGCTATGATGAAAACTCTTGAGAGTTGGTTCAGTGATTCCTTGAGGAACACGAAAAGACGACTTGCTTTTTGAGCATAGTACATCGACTTGGTAACTATAGTTATTGAAAATGATACTTGTCAACAACACCTAATGAAACGCTGACTATTTTTATCTACAGATGCCATGTCATGGCGTTGTGAATCTGCGGTGAATTTATGTGTGATATATTGAGGTCTCCCAAATCATTTTCCAGACAGCTGAATGTGTTCCTGCGGCAAAGAAAGATCAAATGTGACGGCTCCATCAAACAACATTTCATGGGATTACTCAACCAGAAACCCCTAAGATATTCCATAACCCGACTGAGGGTTTTCCGGAGTGTTATGAAAACAGGTAAATTGAAATTACTTTCATGAACAAGTACCGAGTGCTCTCTGGACCTAATCCTGGATGCGTGATTCACAAGGCAAGTGCTGGGCAGTGATCCCCAAAGAAGTTACAAGCGAGCTTCAAAATATCTTCCGTGCTAACTTGGGGGTGGAGAAATGCATATCCCACCTTACCAAAGTTGGGCTCATACTTTGGGATTTAGATTACTAGCCAAGACCTCTACCCCATACTACTGAGCTTAAAAGTATTGACCAACTCTATTTGCGTCAATCCAGCCCTTGTCGTCTCAGTGGCATTCCACTGTGTAAGCAGGCACCAAGACACAATTGTCATGACTTTAAGAAGGTATACTCTCCAATGCCCATGAACGAGTGTCGAATCAATATTCAGTTGTTGATCAACTAATAAAGCTATTTAAATCATGAGACTGAACGTGGTAAGTGATGATGTTGAACTTCGGTCCCGTGGTGCTGACGCTATTATATAAGCCGCCAAACATCGATTGGCGGGGCGGGGTGAAAGGGTGCACGCGTACATCCACCTCATCCCTCAAACCTCACGTTTTGCCCCACTCTATCTTCTTCTTTAAAAGACTATATGAATGTACTATACCTTTTAAGATGTGTCCTCATATGCCATTCAGTAACAACTGTGAAAGTTGACGGATGCTATAATATGTAAGAATGGGTGAAATGTTGGACCACAATTCCACTCGGTCTATCTAGCCTTTTCTCCATCCGCTTCTACCGCAAATGAACACGACCACAACTTCGAGAAAGTACTGAAATGCTTACTCGTTACTTTGATCCTATTCACAGATCAATCAGTAGCTTGAATACAAGAGGTGGCTAAACACCCTTTACAATGCATGATAGGCTTCTACCTTGGAGATATCATTCTTCGAGATGATCTTCCTGTTCCTAAAAGCCAGATGTCTAGAGTCCAGTTTCCGCTCTTGAGTGGGCAGAGCAAAACCGTGTTGTCTCCCCGTTCTTGTGTTCTCGAATCCTCTTTGCTCCTGCTCACTGTCCTCTGATTAGCACCCTAGTTGGGACATTTCTAGTAAGCATCAGCAGGAGCAGCGACGCCCTCGATCTTCTTACGCGATTCCCACTATACTGCTTGTTTTATGACCAGTAGTTATTTTCGACTGCCTCATTCGCTATCGAACAAAATGCCACCAGCAACGATAGGCCTTCGCCATTATCCCTGAGGTATTGGGCCCCTTCGATCACTGGTCAATTGATAGGATTAATCGAGCGACGGTTAAGGGTTTCTTTGGTAGCTACCTATGGCCGGGTGTACCGTCATGAGTGTGCATTAACTGAAGTCACTCGCCGTACTCGTCGCAAAAAGTGCCAGAGCCACACGTCAATGACTATGATGGTGGGCTCGCAATAGGTAACAAATTTACTACCTCTCGAATCACTCTCTCAGGTGATATCATAGTGTCAGCAAAAGAGCCCCAAAATATTCAACAGTCGCGGAATTTTAATGATTGTTCGGATGTGCAATCGCTCTCGAACGCTTCGTCGACTCGACGTATTACGTACAACCCTTTATGCGATGTGCCTATTACCCAGGTCCTGTCAGACCATAGTCTCTAATCCCATTATTCCAGAGTCTAACTAACGTGCCCGAGGACGAAAGCATACCGCACCGCGTTGTCGATGGTTAATGGGGGCTTACGGCATGTCAAATACCGCTTGAAGCCGTGAAAGCGTATTATTAACCGTATACATTAATGGCTGAATTTGATCGTTGCAACATTCTTGGGATGATCTGAGCCGTGGCGTAAAACGGTGCGATTTCAATCTAGTTACAAAATTAACTACTTGCTGCCCTTGTTCTGGCGTCATCGCCGTAGGTCATCCAGAACGCGTTAATATATCTGCCGTTCCGGGGTGTGGCCCAGTTGGGTTCGAAAAAATCTAGTGATTAGTTCTATCTTGTGCGGTTTTTTTCGGACTCCGTGATAGAGCTTACGAATCTGTACGCGCACTGCAATGTTTTATAATCATGCAGTAATATTGGGAGCCCTTGGAATAGCCGTGGGTCATTAATAAAACTTGCCATTTCTGACAACTTTTTGTCACCTACTATCAATGCCCCTTTCTTGCTGTTATCATTTTCTTTTTGTCTGTCACGAAATTTTAATAGTTACATGGGCTTTCATACCCTATATTGTAAAGCCTTCAGGGTGTACAAAGGCTCAAGTGAACTTTGTCAAGAATTAGTTTTTGGAAGGTAATTCTGAACAATCAATCTAATCAATCAGGCAGTCGTTTGAAATCCTCTAATTTAAGCTTATACTTCCTGATAATTCAGCAAAAATGAACTTTTTAAGTTCTCTGATTATGATCGTAGCGACGAATGAACGAGGGATCATCACATGCATTCTTGATTAACGTGATTTATCATCAAGTGAACCATATCATCGAGTGGACCACTTTCACCTCAATTCACACTTTCAAACTCATATTATTCAACAACAACTAAATCAATTAATTGAAACTATAAAGATTCTAATAATCTAGAATCTATTAAATCATTTTGACAAATTCTTATATTATACTTAATCTTTCTATACTTATTATAACATCAATTAAAAAATACTTTTCTATTAGAATTCCTCTTTTTTTGATATTTATTATATTAAATCTGAATATCAATCTCTTATTGAGATAATATATCAAAAGCCTTTTATTTAGTAAGTATTCCTTTTTAATATAATTAAGTTTTTTTCATATATCAATACTTATTTAATATTTCATTCACTATTTGAAATGTATAAATCTTTATATTCAAAAGTATATTTTCATAAGCTAATCTCTCTATATTTTTACACAAATCTGAACACACACAACAGCGAGCTTAGATCGTACTAAGCCGCACCTTTCGACTATATAAGCTCTAGTATCAGATATACCTATAGTTGTCGCTAACAGCGTAAATGCTATGGCAATTACTTCTATAAGAGTATTAATTGTAATCAATCCCTAGTTTATTTGTAATCAATTATTATCCTCACCCTTATTATTTAATTATAGTAATATGGGCATTTATAGTATAAAAACTACAAGAGCTATTATATTAAGTCTATAAGTAACAAGAGAATTTTTTATTATAATATAATTAAATGCTTTTGATGAGTAAATATAACTCAAATATAAGATTTATAAAATATTTGAAAAAATACTTCAACAATTCGAAGCTGATAGTATACTAAAAAAAGCATTTTTTAGTAAAAAAGTATATAATATAGCAATAAATAATATCAAAACCAAATTATTATAAATTATAATACAACCTATAATTGGAAATAGGTATAGTAATAATCCAAATTACATCTATGTGAATATTACAAAAATCCCGAAAAACTTGAATACATTTATAAATACAAATATATATATATAAGGGTAAATCAATAAATAGAAATCAATCAAATCCTAGAGAATTAGAGTAAATATCTATTTACTAGTAGTAGAAATTATTATACTAATAATAAATCGTTTAAGTATTTATATATTAAAAAAAGCAATTAATAAAGCTATTTTTAATTTAAAAGATATTGATATAGCGGCTATTATTCTTATAATTATTAATTAAATAGTATATATTGCTAATAGTGTTATATATAATAAACTTTTTGAAATTGAGAATATAAAAAAGATTAAAAAGATTCTAAATTATAATAACTTGGAATGATTTATAATATAATATTGCTATATACTAAAAAAAATTTCAATTTTTCTTAGTAGTTTGAATAGAAATAGAATATTAATTATTAAGGAAATAATAACTAAGGAAATATTAATATAAATAGGTATTCCTTTAATTAATTATTAAATCATTATTTGAACTACTAACTTCTATAAGTAGATCTGAATTATTAGTTTACTAAGAGAAATCTCTCCCTTTTAACTTTTTGATAGCTCTAAATAAGTTTAGTATATTAAACCGAAATAGTATATTATTCACTATAATTTAGAATATCAGAATTTCTATAATTCTATAATATATAAGAGTGCTTTAAGATATAATAACTATGGTATCCTATAAACTAATTATAACAGCCTATTTAGGTCTGAGTATAAAAACAAAATTGAATATACAAATTATACAGAATCATTCTAGATTGGGTATAACAGTTATTCTGTAATATTGTATTAAATTAATAAGAAAATTGTATATCTTATAAAATCCGAAATCTATAAAATCAAGAAATATAATCGAAAAACTCATTTAATTATTGAAATATTAATTAACAAAATATCTACCTCAATTATAATAGCTTCTTGGAATGTTATAATAAAAATTCCTTTCTCCTTCAATCTATAGAGAATATATTATTATATATAAAAATCTGAGTAATTCCTAATATATTTTTTAGAACTTCTTTTTGACTAATAGTTTGCTCAAGGATCTTTGTTATTCCAAAAGGAAGCACCCAAATAAAAATAGTTTGAATAAGAAAATATTCTTTAATATTATATT